GACCAAGCAATTCAGCTAACTGCATGCAAATGGTCTCATCGAGGCGAATCGACAAAAACTCTCGTCACCTTTTTCTGCAAATAAAAGAGTAGAGAAGAACGCTACGAAGATACAGACGATTTCCGTATCATATAAAGCTTCTGCTGCGCCTTCAATTTCCATTTTTTCGGCGCCAACCGAAGAAATTGTAAACTGCTTTGGTATATGATAGCATATCAATCATGTCCAATTTATGAAAATCCGGAATATTCATTTCTCCCGAGTATGTATCTAGATATGGCCAGATTGTAGTATCTTTCAGGGATGCCGTCTGAAACTGCACAATCTATTTGCAGCATACTGATGGGAAATATCTTAGTAATGTTCCCACGACTTCGGTTTTGTTTCGCACACGGCGGCGGTGCATATCCAATCATTAGCGGACGAGTTTCGCATGGCTACAAGGTTAGTGTTTTGTAAATTTGCAGCGAATATACGTTTCCAAAGCCAAATGTCAATGCAGTTGACGTCTGATGAAGAAATTAAAGACTCCATTATCTCCAATGAAACGATGGTGCATAGCGTTTCCATCAGCAGCTTAAAATTTTCCTTTCTTTGATGTTATTGAAAAAAGACATAGTAGCTTTTCACAAAACACTAACAAGATTCTTAACTTCTATTCTAACTACTAAGGGACCAAAATTGTCTTTGCCCCAGTTTTTAGAAAATGCCATATACTCAATTTGGCAAAACTGCCATTCCAGGATCCACACCACATTATTGATGCAATCGTTAATGACCTCCAAAGATTTTATGAGAACAGAATTACAAAATATTAGGATCACATATTTCGAATGAAGGGAATCATGTGACTAATTCTTTGTGGCACTGGCTTACAAATCACACTGCCTAGGGTGCTCAACCCATAGCATAATGCTTGATCGTTTCGCTCTTTAAATCCCCAACTAATCCTTCGAAGGCCTCAAAGTAAAATGATATTATTTTCGTAAGAATCTTCTCAGTTATGATAGGTAGAGAAATGGACTAAGGTCAAGGTGGCACCAGGACCATCACTGAAGCTGAGGTATGTTGCAGTTGTTAAACCATTTCCCCAACTCGATGAAATAGTTCATACTGTGGAAGTATATGGAAAGTATTATTTCAAAGTAAAAGTATTTTTCTAGCATGGTATGCACAGAGCATTTCCGGTGAAGTCAGCATCTAATGAAGCAAAATCAATGTGGATTGCTATAGAATGTGAACTAACATCTCCCTCCTAATTGTGGATGGCCTTTCGGTATTGTCTGCTAAACCAATGTTTCCTACCATTATACTGTTTTTCTCTTCTGCGATCAGCGAGTCGGAGGATCCTATTTCGTAACATTAATAGTGCTGCCGCCTATGACTTTTTCGGAGCCATCTGCTACTCGTATCATCAAAAAAATCAAGTTGTTTCCGAGAGCCTTCGGTGCTTAAGGGAAACTTCCCATTGCAGTTTGCAGTCTCCCGTCAAAGTACACTAGCTAAGGGCTGATAATGCTTTGCAACATCACCGTTCTAGGAACCATCAGCGCTCCGCTTTGCTCTACTATCATGCTACTCATTCCTCACATATTCAGTAACTTATGTTAATAACTGTAACAAAAACTTTTCATTAAACATCTTGTAGTTCAATAAGTTATTTTCTCGTCCGTAAACTGGATTCGTTGGATTCCCACCATATAAGGGTTTCATCTTTTTATACAAAATGACTTTAATTTACTCAAACGCCGTACTTTGAGTTGCAAGTTTTGTTGGAGTATTACTTACTTCTTCAGAAATTACTGCTTGCTTACTTTTAATAAAATGTAATTCCAACAGCACACAAGCACTAAGGCTTTTCACCTACACAATAACTGTCACTTGACCAATTCTGAGTTAGAGATTCTACTGCGACCGTCTAAGATTGTGCCCAATCGAGCGAAATTGCACTTAGATCTGGATTCGCCCCACCGTAACTTATTACGTCTTAACTAGCCGAACATGTCAGGTCCGTCCCGATTTATGCGCAACAGACTGCTCTGTGAGTCCGCAGGAGCTACAGCGACAAATTTGGACTGATTCTCTTGTTCACGATCCTCTCGCACTCCATCTCCTTTTGAAAACCGTTGGGAAGGTACTGCTTTTAGGGTCTTTGCTTTTTTTAGAAAATCATAAAAAGAATTTTTTCTTTAGGATAAGGTTGTGCTCGGCACGGATTATCCTTTTCCTTTGGGCGAATTGGAAGTTGGGAAGGTACCTTTCTTAACAACCAAGCAACTTACTTCGCCTATTATGTTTTTCTAGGTTGTGGAAGAGTTCAATGCGTCCACCGATATTGACAAGGATAAACTTCTCTGGAAAAACGCAGTCGACATGCTCCGTCTGAATGAGAACGCTCTTTACAATGAATCATTTTGAATTATGGAAGTTGTTCAAAATTATACTCACATTCAAATGAATGCATGTATCATTGAACTTTTAACTGGATATTTAAAAGTGCAGCGCATTAACACATTTTTTATTTACTGATTCATATGAATAAATTGATATTCTTTTGTTATGCTGCTTATCTCCTACCCTAGCCTTGCAGGAAACAAAGTTTAGGAAGACTGACGTGAGGCAGCTGAGTGATAGCACAATCATTTGTACACCCAGTTGTTGTCCATCTTGTCGATTCGCATGAGATCCTATCACCTCGCCTGGCTATTCTTCAACTCCGTGCTCCGCATCAGAAAACCATCACTATCAATAACTATTATGTTCCAACATCAGCAGCTGATGATTCGGAACTTGATGCTTTTTATGAGGATTTAGAGGAAGTCGTTCGCAAAGAAAACTCTTTCTATAAGGTCGTGGGTGACTTCAATGCGAAAATCGGGATGAAAGAAGAGGGGGAGCACAGGATCGGGAGAATTGGATCAGGACTCCGGAATGAGGATGGTAACCGTCTTGTTGGCTTCTCATTCGCCGCACGACTTTTTCATGGCAACTCCATCTTCGTGAGAAAGAACATTGGCGGTAGACATGGGAGATACCAAACGGTACGACTCATGCGGAGATTGACCACATTCTCATCAACCAAAGGTGGTGCTTACCGAACGTCTCAATGGTACCATACTTCAGTAGCGGCTCAGATCACTGCCTCCTTCGAGCAAAAGTGCGATTCAGCCGAAAGGTGGAACAGAAGATTTGTCAGCGTGTGGAGGAAAAAGAGAAGTCGTATATGACGACGTCAGATTGGTAGAACTGACCACTTGACTGGTTCGTGAGCACCCAACGAAGGACTACGACCTGCTTCTCGCAGGAAATTGGCCACCAAGAATCTGCTAAAGAGGAGAAGAGCACTGAGGCTGGAGCTGACTGCACCACATTTCGAGCGAGTGGTCTAGCCATAGCAGAACAGCTTTATAAGAAGATCTTCGGGAGTACAGGCAAGAAGTACCGCAAGAACCTTCTCGACTATCGTGTCCCGCTGACAGCATTACTAGACGAAGACGGGACTCGCATATCTTCCCAGCAAAAGATGATCACGATATTTTACATCAATGTCTTTCGCTCGTCACTCGTGTCAAACCCAGTTCCCACTGGAGAAATACCACTACATTCTACCTGCTGAAGTAAGAGCCGCAATCCAGGCCATGAAGGCAGCCACGGTTCCGGGACCGGACCACCGGTCAACTTCTTACGAGCTGAGGGACTCGCCTACAGGAGATACTCGATAACATGAAGTTTTACCTTTAAAAGGAAAAGATCCCCATTTCATAGAGTAATAGGGAGAATCTTCGGAACTACCGTACAATATGCCTGATGAGCCTGCTTGACAAGCTTTTCAAAAATATTAATTTCGCTCGCATATCTAGGACACTGGATGAAGCCCAACCTGTAGAACAAGTGGATTTCATAAGGGAATCAGCTGCGAGGATCACCAGACGGTTTCGAGGACTATCGAGGTTTTCCAAAGTACAGCCTCCTCTTGTTTCAACATTTCGACTTAAGATAGAGTTTGAAAGCGTCTGACTGAGGCCATACTGTCAACGCTCGTCATCCAAAGGGTGGACTCATCGCACGTGAGGACATTGGCTGACTGCTACAAAAACTCTACAACAGTACGGCTTCATCGCCCCCCTTAACATATCAATTTCAATGGGGTTCGACGAGACGATACGGTGTCGCCAAAGCTGTTTACCGCGGCCTTCTAGTTGGAGATGAAATCACTGAATTGACGAGAGAGGTATACGGATTGATGGGAGATTCCTCTCGAACTTGTCGTTTTACGAACGACATTGTCTTCTCAAGGAATATCACTGAAGCGGAGACGATGTTGAAAGAACCAAACGAAGTAGGGAAGCGGATAGGACTGCAAATAATCGATGACTCACTTCATGAAGAACGCTTTTTGCGAAGATTAGGAGGTGGAATAAGGACTACAATCGCGAAGACGTCTTATTACGTATATCTCGGGCGTTCGATGGGCATGGAGAACGATCTGAGAGCAGAACTAAACAGGAGACGAAGAGCAGCTTGGGGCCCTTCGGGCTCTTAGAGGAAGCCACAGACCTAGTACTCAGAGCTCCGACCCACCTGTTCAATTCAATCGTTCTCCCGGCGCTCTGTTAGGCAGCAGAGACGTGGCTTGACACTGTGGCTACGTCGAAGGCACTTCCCACAACCCACAGAGCGCTGAAACGACGTCTTCTGAAGTACAACCGACGTACTCAACATCTCGTCGGACTTCAGTTCAGATATGAGATCAATGTCTCGTCTTCGTGATCCAGAGTCTTCAAGGCAAACATTGATGGGATGGTCATATAATGAGAAGAATAGACGACATATGGATACTAAGAACTTTGGAAGGGATTCCACGAGAAGCAACGCCCTTGAGGGAGGCCACACATTAGACGGCCGACGTGTTCGTTACATGGATGGACCAGCTGAGTTCTCAGCTGGTAGCGAGTAATGGATCTGGAACTCGCGAACGTCCCGCCGCGGTTCAATACCAACATCGTGGATAATGCTAGTAAGAGACAGAAACAGTGAAGACAGATCTGAGTATCTAAGCATCTAAGTAAGTAATCAATTGGAAACACCTCACAGCGAGCACAGATTACACTCCAGAGACAAGAAAACAAAAGTGATAGTGATTTTAACTAAGGAGCCTTGCAAAAAGTAAAGGTGGTT